TGTCGCAGCAAAATGATGGTACGTACGCGATCTGAGTCAAAAATTAAAGATATTTATACAATAACGCATGGGCTTATTTTGAGATTATGCGGGGTTGAATGGTCTGCGCAAAGTTTCTTTGGACATTACTGCAAAAAATACGGCTGAATTCCGCGAGGCCGGTACTTAGTCAGAGCGAATTAGTGGTATAGCAGAAGTTTCAGGGAGTCACACGGACTCGGCAGGGTAATCAGGGAGTACACAGTAAGATCACGGGAGTATTGAACTCCGGACGCCCAGTTTATTTCGCACCTGAAACAGACGAGGACCGACCCTACGCGGCGCCACAGTGATGAATGACCCAGATTTCCACGACAGGCAATGATATTAAAGGGATACTGCGATAAAATAAAAGAGATAATTCAATTTTAAAGGATTCTTAGTGAATTACATGGCACGTATGCAAATTATGTTTAGACTTGCTTAGTCCACTGCTTATACATCGAGTACACTGTTCGTTTGTATTGCGATAACGGAACGCTGTGAGTCGATTATCGCTATGTGGACACTGTATCGGACTTACGATGACAGTTAGTTTCCTCTTTTGGAGGGTAGGGAGTCCGTTGGACTGCTGTGTTCAAAAGTTTATTTCTACCCCTGCCCTTTTATTGCTGTCAAAATTGTTACGGAAAAACCATCAATAGTGACGATTGACTGGTGCGTGGCGTTACTGTGCACGTACTGTAGTACTGTGTATGGCACGCATGTCAGGGGAGCTGTCGATTACAGGTCAGTCTAGATTCAGGCACTTGATTCAGACTACATGACAGGGTTCTCCAATAGCACTTATAGTTATAGCCTGGCGGCCGGCAGGCTATCGTCGAGCCCCGCCATCCTAAAATGCACCCGCCACTCTAAATATCATAGCCACCATGCTAAATATCATAGCCCCCGGACCCCCCTAGCACGCAAACCGCCTTCGGGTCCTTGCAACTAGGACCGTAAAGGCAGCACCCGCCATGCTATAATGAAAAAGCTTGGAGAACCCTGCATAAATCAGTGGCCAATATATTCAAAACAAATTAACACAAATTAATGTGTCTGATAGGCTTGGTTTACATTAATCCCCTTACTTCCATTACATTCCATAGACTAAATCAAAGTACAAAATAACTATTTATTGAATTCTCAAAACTACTATTTTAATGATGACGACCTATGAATAACAATTCACATAATAGCCTTATAGTAGACATGTTATGGAATACAATACTACCATGAAGTTATATTAATTCAATATTAATGTTTACAGTAATACATACCATACATACTTTCTACAGCACTTGGCTTAACATTTATTCAGCATTTTTAGAGCAAAACAGACATTCTGAATTGTGTTTTATAAATCTGCAGTTCAAGTTTAAGATAAAATACATATTCACTAAACAAGCACCACTGGAATTACATCATTCAAATGTAAAACCTATTAATAAGATGATATACAAACATTTAGGTACCCAGTATACCACCAACATGCATAGGCTGGATGCTTTTTAAATGTCAATACACAATAAGGTCATCTAGAGCTGAAAACTCAACTTATTGCAATAAAAGTAAGAGGCACCATATTACAAAACCACAACTTGTAAACACCCGCCAAAATGTCCTATAGACTGAAGATAATTGTTTCTTTCCACTGATTCGATAAATCGGAAGTGAATCCAAATGTATATTATTTTTTTAGCAAAAATAAGCAATGATTATAGAAACACTATGCATGGCCATGCAGTTTGACAAACAAACTACTCTGGAAACCATTTGGCATCAAACATCACAATACTAATATAAACTAGTTTTTCTAGCATCTAAAATAACTATTGTTAGCATAATACAATGTAATTTAAGATTTCAGCACCTAATATTGATGAATGATACTATTACTAAATACTAGTATATACTAGTCTCAATTTAGCTTCAATTAACAATATAACTACAATTGTATGCACATGTGCACATAATGCAGAGTAACGAGGCATTGTAAATAGGTTTGTATAGGTATTATGTACTTGCATATCAAGTTTAGGCCTCCAAATTTTCAGTCTGAAGTTTGTTTAATGTTCTCATTTCTAAGCATCAAGTTCCATATGCTCACTCTTTCTAAAAGAACAATCATACAACAAAGCTCTGCTCTTCTCATATCAATAGCAAATACATTTTATAATCACAGAAATTTTATGATCCGACTCATAACAACGAAAACCAAAAAGCTCAAACATATTCAGGGGCTGAAAATAGGGCAAGTCCGAGGTCTGGGACCGATTTCATGCTCGGACCTTCGCAATTTCCAAGCAGAAAGTCCGTCGGACCTATCATTATCAATAATTTACAGTACTCCACTTTCATCAAATAAAACATCATTAAACCACTGCAAATTACGAAGAAATAAAGCGAAAGTGGATCGATTTTTTGTCACTGTCAACATCTAGTATCATATTTAATATTCACGATGGAACATACCAAGTATAAGAGTCAAATTTACCGAAAATCTGATCGAAATTACACGTACTGATAGCGTATGCTGCAACGTTAGTAATAGTAGCAACGAAACGAAATGAACGGAATAGTAGTACGGAAGTTAACGTAGCTGCATGCACAGTTTCAGCATACCGGGTGTAACTCGTCGCTCGTGCGAGTAACTCGGAACGCATGCAGATGACGCATGTATTGTATCAAACAAGGGCAAACATGAGTTTGTTTAAGCTTGGTTTTGTATCAAATGAAAGTGTCAATGACACTGTAGCTCACCACAAAAAAGGACACAAATGATGTGAGTAGAAGAAGTCATGTTTTTAATTGAGCAAGTCCAATCGAGTACATTATAGAAACGATTCCATCTGTATATCGCGAATAAATAATAGTTATAAACCAAAAATGAATCCAATTTGTGACCGTAGAGGGCGCTCATTATTACCGCTTTGTAGCGGGAAACTTGTGCGTTTGAAAATTAATAGGTTATGCTGCGTTCCGACATGGTTTTTGTATAATCTTTACTCTTAATAGCGTTTATCGGCTGGCGTTGGGACGAAGGAAATACCAATTGCATTAAAGAGATATTGTCGTTATGAAATCTTGTAAAACGAACAGGACGAGTGCTGGGGGCTGAATGTGACACAACAGACTGTTTGTGTTTATATAATATGCTATATAATTGCCAAACCCTACCTAATTTGCATAATTTTTTTTTAAATATCAAAACCCCTAGCCCTTATTCATTCACATACCAAAAATGAGCAAAATCCGTTGAACCTGAATTGACTACTGGCAATTCCCATTTTTGCCAAAAAATTGGCGTGGCTCGAAAGTACGTTGACTGGCGTGCTTCAAAATAGGACGTTTAATATGAGAGCATAGCAGTAACAACTATATACCCAATTTCAAACATGTGGGCCAAACGGTTGCTGAGTTTTCGTTGACCGAAGCGAAATGTTGACGGACTGACGGACGTACGACGAACGACGACCCATGGCAATAGCTCAGCTTGACGATGTCAAGGTGAGCTAAAAACGGACCCACTGTTACCAAACGATCTATTAGCCAAACAAACGTTACAAATGACTTGCAAAATGAAACCGAAACTACTGGTACTTCGTTGAAAAATGCAAAATATGATGTGTAAAGTGAAACTACAACGAGTAGATTAATAAAAGACTCAAAATATGACAGTGTCAGAAACTTCATATTCGGACCTTCCAAATCATTCATCGGTCCTTCCAAACATATTGCTGAAAAGTCCCGGACATGCAGGCAAAAACCACTATTTTCAGCCCCTGATATTGTAAGCTGGTAGTGTAACAGTACGATGCCACCATACGTCCTCATTGCCATTGCGCATGATTGTAAAGGTCAGCACAGCAACCCAAACAGCGGGCAAATGTTTCAACTACAATGTATTAATAAAATGTGCTCATCTGTAAAATATATGTAACGTTCTGACACAAACCATGCATGTTATCAGGAGTGGATAATAGAGAATCTCTATTATCCACTCCTGATGTTATGCATGAACTGTGAAAGCCACTGCTTTGAATATTTTGCTGTTCAATAAATAATGAGAAATGTGTACCTGACAGCCTACAATCTCAATTCATTATATAGCCTGCAAATGTAATTTCATGTCAAGAAGACGTATCAGTTTAATACCGGTAAGGTATGAAAATGCAAATAAACTACTCTCCTGTTGTTACGATTTTTCAGAAATCGCCTTGAATACTTTCCTTACGTCTTCATAAACCTAGAATAAATCACAATCACAAACAAGTATTATTAACATCAATTAAACTTTGTTCAGAAATTAAGAAAGGATAAAATATTCAGTTTTATAATGGCTGAATAACACAACAATTGTACATTTACGATGTCTGAAATGCTGTTTTCATTTTGTGCTATCTTAATGTGAAACACCTTTCACAGTGGTGTTGCAAGTTATAATTTTAGTTTATTGTGTAATAATTGAAGTAATTGGTGGCATCAGTTAATATTATAATGACTGCACCAACTTCGATAGGATGCCACTACATAGTACTTGCCTCGTCTGGTGTATTGGCTGCATTTATTTTCCTCACTAGTCCCTGCACTTCGTAATGCTGAATTATTGGCAACGATGAGGTGACAAATGTGACCACCCTGGATAGGAGGAATAGCCATAAAGTCCCTGTACTATAAGAATTCTGGCTTAGCTTCTACATCCCTATATATAAAACTGGATCACTGCTTTCAAAATACATTATTTCACATGTTATTACAACACAACATACTCTGTTTATCGAACTGTTATAGGAAAAGTCAAATTTCAAATAGATACAAGATACAACTAAACTTCATATAGAAATATGTCGATGTCTTAATTTTCATTAATCTGTTATTAATCCATGTGGTGTCAAATTACCGTTTCTTTAAGCTTTCAGCATTGTCGTCCGATCGTCCACTACCAGCTGCTCCCCGACCTAAACATCTCTCTATACACACCTGCAAAATATTGAGTCTATATAAGAATTTACATATATAACATTAAAAATTGTTCTTATAGCATGTCTCCATTGTACTTTTACCCCGTGGCCACCAGAAGGGTAAGCATGGCTGTTGAGATGTATAGATGGTATGTAACCATACAGCAGGGTGTGAAATTAACGCGAGTCCGGAGTAAAATACTCTCTGATTTACTGTCGGACTCCCTGATTTGACATACGTGCGACTCCCTGAAAATTCTGCTATACAAACTAGTTCGTTCCAGAGCACGGCCTCGTGGAATTACCATATTTTTTCAGCAAATCTTTAATTTTAAACTTCACTACAGACTCCCTCATTTTGCTGAAGACTCCCTCTTTTTGAGGGCAACAACAATCAACTAACACTTTAAGTAACAATAGTTCAAATGTTAATTCGTTTTATCATTCCAACTTCAAACCAGTGCATGTTCTATAGGCCTAGTATAGATGGTTTTAACGTAAAGGAGAATTGAGGTACACTTGTGCATGAACTTTAACGATGTGTAGAGATTGGTCATACTTCATCTGGGCAGTCGAAAAACAGGACAAAGTGAAGGCGGGTCTTGTCAGACATTGCTTTGTTCCACCCTTCCAGATTGTCTTTATTTCTCGGGAACCCATCAATTAAAAAATTAAGTCCTCCATGATCTTGCATAGCCTACAAATGAGTAACACATGGTTAGAATAATGACCACCACAAAACAGAATCAAAATACACTCCATAGTGGCAATTTTATTTATTTGTGCTTTATCATAGACTAGGTAGACAGAAAATAGTCATACTGTTGTGGAATGATAAATACTCGGTATAGCCAATTCGATTATTAAATGATAAATGATATTAACTCGTACGCCTTAATGTGAATGTGAATATTTTTCTTGTACCCCTTTACACTTTATCATGCACTATATTTAATGAAAGTGTCAATGACACTGTAGCTCACCACAAAAAAGGACACAAAGGAGTGAGTGAGAAGAAGTCAGTTTTAATTGAGCAACCATCGACGTACATTATAGAAATGAA